CCTCATGGTATGTTAAAGTCCCTGGTTCCCAAATGCCAGCAGTACTTCCAAATCACAGGAGATTGTAAAGCACAGCGGTGCATTTCCAAATGCCCAGGTCGGTGGGTCACGCCCTTGAGAAATCGCAACCTCTGCAGCCTCAGATTGTTCATGATGCTACAAGCACTCCAGAAGAGATGATTATCTAAAACTCAGAAGTCAGGTCAACTTTCACCTGCTTCTAGTTCCAGCACAACATTCTTATCAAGGTCGATATTCAAAAGCAAAAAGAAATGCAGAACACGTTTTCATATATGTGTGTGTTACTGTTTAGAATCAGGAAAGTATTGCCAAAATAAATCTTACTGTATATTTCCTATTTTCTTTTGCAGGGAAAGCAGACTCTTTCAATAAATCGTCATAGGTAGAAGAAGATACAAATGTCATAAGAACTTTCCGGCAGTGGGCTCAGATTCTAACGGAAGATTAATCTCAGATTCACTCTTTCCAAAAAGAACCAAGTGTGAAGCCCACAGCACATATATCTGATAGAGCTGAATTCCGAGAGGACTCCTCAGAGCACTGGAAAAAGGGGCCATGAACTTCTTGTAAGTATGTTATCATACTGCCCTGAGCATTCAGAAAGGGGGCTAGATCAACGGATATTGTCAGTGCTACTGATCAATATTTAGTTCACTGTGGCTACCTGCGATTGTAACGGTGTTTACATTGGTATGAGACATTTTACTGGTGAGAAAACAATTTTAAAAATGCTCTTGGTCCACTGATGAGCTCACATAGCAGTAAATAATGCGGTCCAGTGGGCAGACACCCAAGACTAGGTGGTACCCTAGATAAGGGTTATTTTGCCCTGCAGGCCTTTCTGCCTCTGGTTAACAGAAGCAAATTAGGTGCATTATTTTGAGAAAGTAATGACCAAGGAAAGCTGAACTTAGCGTGCATTCACTCAAATTTTCATTAATATATTTTAAAAGTAATGTTTGCTACCCTTCCTTACTGCAGAAAACTCGTCATGGAGCATTAGAATTTGGAGTTTGAAAAGTTAGGATCTATTACCTGCTTTTCTCCTAAGAGCTGTATGACTTTTGGTAAATTATTTGACCTAATTCTCAGATTCTTTATCTGTAAAATGGAGATAATAGCACTAAGTTCTTCCCTGAGCTGTTGTGGGATTAAATGGAGGTATAACTTGTAAAGTGCTTTAGCGGTGGTCTGGCTCACACTGACCTATAATTAAACACGTATCCAACTTACTTCTTCAGGACACTTTTCTCTTTTCCACTGGGGGTGGGGCACAGGGTGGGGTGGAGAGAAAGCAGCGTTGTAGGAAAGGCCCATGTGAACTCAGAGGGGGACAGGAATGGAGTAAGAAGCATGAAAAATAAAGGACTCACACACTTAGAGCTGAAATGACTTACTTTTGCATTGTCTTCTGAACTCCATGTACGTGTTAGATTTTTCTCTTTGGAAAGGGCTGCATCCCCGTGCAATGCGAGGTCACCGGGGACCATGAGAGACTTGCCTGTTAAAAGCATGATAACAGCACCTCCTGTGATCTAACCCTAGGTCAGTGCTACTCAACGGGTGTTGAGCAATTTCATTACTGGAACTTGGGACAACATAAGTATAGAAATTGAGAGTCAGCGTTTAGAAACTTTGAACCCTGATTGAGTAGTTTTATGTTGAATGAATCTAATAAATAGAAATGTCTATTTTGTATGTTTATTATTTCTCCCATTTAGTAATTTATTTCTTTAAATTAACATATTACCTTAGTGGTTCACTTTTATTTTACTTCAATAAACTATAGCCCAGCTGGTGTGGCTCAGTGGTTGAACGCAGATCCATGCATCAAGAGGTCACTGGTTTGATTCCTGGTCAGGGCACGTGCCCAGGTTGTGGGTCAAGTCCCCAGTGTGGGGCATGGAGGAGTCGGCCAATTGATGTTTCTATGTCTCTCTCCCTCTCCTTCTAAAAATCAATAAAGAAAAAAATTTTTTTTAAATTCTATCTAAAGCCTAGCAACATTAAAAAAAAACAAAAAACAACAACTATAGACCCAAAATGGTTGAAAATTTTAAAAAACTGGTCTTTCACCACTGACAGTTTGAGAAGTAGCACTACTCTAGAAAATAATCCAGACTTTTCTATCATACTGAGGAAAGTCATTGTTCTAATCTGAAAGTTCTCAAAGACCGACATTCGAGGAAATTCTTTAGTTTGAAACTTTGTTCCTAAGAGAAGGCCAACCTACTCATTTAAAACATTTCTAGAATTATTATTACATATAATGTCAAGCTTTTATAAATATAAGAAACAATTTTGAAGAATTTTCTCAAATATGGAAAAAAATTAAATATCAAAGAAGGTAAGGCACATTTTAAATCCATCTTGTGGACCATAGCACAAAGCTTTATGAGACAGATTGATATACATTGATACAGAGTGAAGCCAAGGTATGTTAGTTGAAAAAAAGTTGTAAAACCATACTTGGAATATGATGCTGTATTTTTTAAAATTTAATCCTCACCAGAGGGGAGGAGGAGAAACACTAATGTCATATTGACTGGTTGCCTCCCACATGACCCTGACTGGGGCCGGGACTAAAACTGCAATCCAGGTATGTGCCCTTGACCGGAAATTGAACTCAAGACCGTTCTGCCCTTGGGTCAACGCTCTAACTGCTAAGCCAAACCAGCCAGGGCATGTTGCTGTTATTTTATTTTATTTTATTATATTTTATTTTTATCCTCACCCAAGGGCATTTTTCCATTTTTTATTCAGATAGAGTGGGAGGAAGAGAGAGAAACATCGACGTGAAAGGGACACATCGAGTGGCCGCCACCAGCACGACCCAACCGGAGCTGGGGACAAACTGCACCTGAGGTACGTGCCCTTAGTGGAAACTGAACCCGGGACTCTCTGGACCGCAGGCCGACGCTCTAACCGCTGAGCAAAACCAGCCAGGGCATGTTGCTGTATTTTAAACAAAAAGATTATATGCGTGAAACATATGAACTAATATACAATAAATTCATTGTTATATCTGGTGATGTTCAATTTATAGGGCACAGTTATGTTTTTATGTTATATATTTGCCATGTGTGTGCATTTAACATTTTTACTATGAGTATATGTTGTAATAGAAAAGGAAATTTACATGTTGAAAAACTTACCTCTTTCACTTTTTGATTATTTTATTATTTAAAAAAACATTTTTTTCTTTTTCCTTTATTGATTTTAGAGAGAGAAGGGAGAGGGAGAGAGAGATGGAAACAATGATGAAAGAGAAGATCAATTAGTCGCCTCCTGCATGCCCCCCACTGGGGATTTGGCCCACAACTTGGGCACGTGCCTGACTGGGAATTGAACCAGGACCTCTCAGTCCATGGGACGATGCTTAATCCACTGAGTCAGACCATTTGTGCATTATTATTATTTTTAATCCTCACCTAAGGATATTTTTCCATTGGATTTTATTTATTTATTCATTTATTTTTTGGTTTATCTCTTCCTGACTCCCGCCCCCCCACCCCCACCCCCTTCCCTCTGAGGTTTGTCAGACTATTCCCTACTTCAATTGAATTTTAGATAGAGTGGAAGGAAGAGAAGGAGAGAGAGAAACATCAATGTGAGAGAGACACACAGATTGGCTGCCTCCTGCGTGACCCCAACCAGGGTCAGGGATGGAACCTGCAACCGAGGTCTGTGCTCTTGACTGGAATCGAACCTGTGACCTTTCAGTGTGCAGGTATTGATGCTCAACAATAAGCCAAACTAGCCAGGGCTCACTTTTTGGTTATTAATAAATATAACAATAAAGTGATTAAGATATGCTTTTCAAAAAAGATGGGGGTGGGGGGAGAGTCATACGGCAGACCTATTCTGCTTCCATTTCTCCACTGTCCTTTTGCATTTGGGATCCAAGTTCTGTTTGTTCTTTCAAGGTACACTTGCAACTCTGAGTATACCATTTCTTGAACAACAGAAAGTCATTTCCATGTAAGGTACTTGCTTGGACATATTAAGATCTCCCTACATTTCATTTTCCACTCTCCGCTCCCTACTGCACAGGATAAAAATATGTCAGGTGAAATATTTTCTTGAATTTAAAAGACCTGTTTGCTAGTCAGTGAAACTAGGATGAATTACGTTTACAAAAATACAACATTTGCAAGATTAGAAAGTCTAAAAATGCACATCAGTGAGACAATACACTATTGTGTTCCATCAATTCTTAGACAACTTATTGTAAGACACAGCATTATTTCATGTATCACTAAGAAAGAAAAAACACTGTCAATTCAACTAGAACACGCCATCAATCAAACAATATTCCCTGATTTCAGATGTAAATATAAAAAACTTGCATCTTGAAATCAATTAAATACGGTAATACTTATATAACAAAGAACCTGCAATCTTGTCCAACATGAGTACTTGAAGTAGAGCACCTTAAGCTGCTTTGTATAAACCTTGAACATAAATGGAAGGATACGTAAACATTTTCAGTAGCACACTTTGTTTATTGACCTATGAAAAAAAGAATAGGTCTTAAAAAGTCAGAACAGTAAAAGAATATGCAAAAGAGTATTTCTGAAGGCTATACAAATATGCAAAAGGAATAAGTTATCTTTTTTTGAATGTCTTTTTTTGTTCCAAATTTTTCCCCAAAGTTTCTTTTTAATGATACAAATGACTAAGGACCAGTTTAACAAATCCACTTTATGTATATATTACATGCTTTGGAATATAGATAGAAAATGTTCCAAAAAGTTGTTCAGAAACTGCTCTAGTCACAGTCTGAACAGGAAACCTGTAGAAAAGGGGGAAGGAGCACCTTTTATGGAATTTTGAAGCAGAGTAAAGAAGACAAAATCTGAGATATGGAAATATTTCTTTAAAAAAAATAACTCAACCATAAACCATAGCTAATTAGTTCTTCCACAGAAAGTATGAGGTAGTTTTAGCCTCATAATTAAATCTACTGCAGCTTGGAGTTTTTTTTTTTAATGACTAATCTTGTTCTGTCACTTGGTGACTCAGACTACCTGTGGAATCCATACAATATGCTTACTTTTCTAATGGTCTCCATTTTAAGGCACACAACTCATCTAAAATATGTTTGTTTGTTTTTTGTTTTTTCTTGTCTTTATTTTGTTTTGGGTTCTTTCTGTATCACCTCAAAATACTTTTCCAAATTCTTGATTAGAAAACTTTTCATATGAAGTCTAGCATTTCCAATGACAGCCAAGTTGGGGAGTTGACAGCCTGGACAGCAGCTGGTCACGGCGCTGGCAGCGCAGGGCCCCGGGTGAGACCTCGGCGACTGTCCGGCCGGCGGTGGGGCTCGGGCCGCTTCACCCCGATGCGCTCCCACGCAGCTCCCCCAGGATGCACGCCAAGTCCGGCACCCAGTTCATGGTGCTTATGACAACTGTCACTCTATAAAATCCTAGAAACGTTTCCACGCCTCCAGAGCTTCATGAGAACCCAGCTTCTCTTCAAGTGATGTCCCAGCACTGTGCAAGCTGCGCGCGTGGAGCCGCTCCTGGTGGCCGCGACCTCGGGCCCCGCCGGGCCTGCCCGGCCTCCCTCCCGCTGGGGCCCCGGAAGCCCTTTCACAGTTTGGGGGTTCGCCTTCAACAACCGGTACCCCTTTCAGAGCGCCCGCGGCGGCCGAGTCCTGCGTGGGGCCGCGGTGACCGTGTGCGCCGGGACGGAGGCAGGGGGCCTGCGGGCTTCGTGCGGCTGAGTGTGGGACTCCCTTCCCCGCAAGGCGAGTCCTCTCCAGCCTCCGCCGTCCTGGGTTTCCAGAGCCACAGCCCCTGGGCAGACGACCGCATTCTGCAAGGCACGCTAGTGGGAGGGCGCAGTGCTCGGCCAGGGGGCCCGCTGCCCTTCAGACTAATGTTCCAGGCTTGGCATCTTCGTGCCACAGGAGCCTCTGCTCGCCCCCCTCCAGGCCGTCCTGCAGCCGGCCTCCCGCGGGGCTGTCCAGCGCACTGGGCTCCGCGTGCTGTCTGTCAAAGCAAACCGGCAGTTACGCTCTGGTCGTTTTGTTCCAAGTACAAAAATCACTACACCCAAAGAAGTTAGTAGAAAGCCCTGTTAAGAAAATTACCCCAAACTCCTAAATAAAGCAAAGGATGACTGTAGTTCCTTCAAAGACATGCTGGGGCATCGTCTAACAGGCCATGCAAGAGTATTTAATTCTCTAGAAACATACACGTTTGTCTAATTTACATTAACCATTGACTAGGACCCAGACTGTGTTGAGTTAGACGTTAACTTCGTTTTTTTGTTTTTTTTTTTTGGTCTGGAAGAAATACAAATGATTTCTGTCTAGCGAGAGCTATGATGGTTATAGTTTTATTGCCCTGTGGGACACTACCTGGTTTTGTATCTAATCTAGTAATCTGACTCCAGCATTTGCTTTTTCAGCGTGTTGAATACAGTCTCTTGAATTCTCTGGAACTGGCTTTACCATTATGTTAGTTCTCTCATGTATGAGTTAAATAAATCTTTGACATATGCCTATTTTCCATTTATGTGACAGATATATTTTTAACTTTTTAAAAGGTATTTTCGACAGCCACATTTTAAGTATTTCTTCCAATTAAGGGAATATACCAGATACTTTCCTCAGGGATACAGGAATATATTTAGAGGGAGGCAGGGGTACGTTGGGAAATATTTTAGATCCCTAGGGTTTAAGGGTCAAGTGTAAATTGGAAACAGCATCAGATGTAAAAATCATAGGCATATTTGGATGGTATATCCAAACGAGAGCATCCTATTATACAAACCATTCCAATAAACCAAACCTCATTCTTGTATTAGCAGGATAGAATAGGTTAGGTAGTTAGTAGATTTCCTTTTATTTGAAATTTCAATGCCTTTTAGTAAAGGGAATAAAGTCTTTGGAAGAAGAGCTTTGGATATAAATACTATGTGAATCCAGGTATTTGGTGTTTTCATCTAATAAAGAAACAGTCAGATTTCGATGACTTCACACATCAGTCAGAGCAAAGCGACACACAGACTTGAGGGGCTGTACTTACTACAGCTGGCTACACCTAGCAAGACAGAATTTACAACTGATCTCATTTCTGGAGACATAATCATTCTCGGGGACCGAAGCCCTTGGTTTAGCCTGGTGATAGGTGGAGTGAGATAAGGAAGAGGGAGGGAAATGGAAAGAGTGAGTAAAAGAAAACAGTTATTTGAAAACACAGTTTGCAGCAGCAGAGCCAAGGCGTGGACTACATTTTATATATGGTGGCCCAAAAGGCTTGAACAGTTCTAATTTTGTGAAGTTTATGGTGCTGACTATTACACCACATCATACTAAAAAAATTTTTTTTGGTAAAAATTTGTAGCTTTCTATAGTATTAAGACTTGGACATCCTTGGGGAAAAGATCTTAAATAATGTGCACTTCATTTATATTGATCTAATCATAGATCTACTGCTAAGCATTTCAAATCTTAGGAGATCTAAAGTTTTTCATCTTTATCTTGAAACCCAACTTCTCTTATATTAAAAATTATGTGTTCATCAATAATAACATGCATTTTAGGGAAAAATTTCTAAAGCTTTATGGATGATTGTCATTATACTTGCTTTGTTAATAGGTCAGGTTAAATTGATCAAACCATATCATAATTTTAAAAAATCCTAAATAGACATAAAATGAAAATAAGCACTCCCATAACTGTGGCTGGGAGGATAAACTGGCAAATTTTTCTGGAAAGCAAGAACTTAAAAGTATATACTTTTCAATTTAATCCTTTAATTCTACTAATTGGAATATATCCTAGGTAAATAATCTGGAATTCAGACAAAAATTTTGTACAAAAATATTAAAAGAAGCATTACAATTAAAAAAAAAGAAAGAAAATCCCCAAACCATTCAAATTCAAAATATGCATAATTGTTAAATAAAGTATGGTGTATTTATTAGTGAAATATCATATTGGTCACATAAAATAAGGATTAAAGAGCTTTTAAAAATATGGAAATATGTTTGTTATAATATTAGTAAATAACTAGGGTGTAGAACTTCATACACGATGAAGGATGTAAAATTGTATATGTGATATCATTATGACCATGTTAAAAATGAATACAGAAAACTGTGGGCAATATGCCAAAATGTTAACAGCTGCTATCTCTAGATGGTGGAATTATGGGTAAATTATTTCTTATTCATTTATCCCTTTATTATTTTCTTAATCTTCCACAATGAGCTCATATTAAGCGAATGTGCACACACACACAATGGGGAAATGTAAATAGTTCTAATGTCCTGTGCATGGTGCCCCGTGGACATGAGACTCCCCTATTAAGCCATCTTAGACTGCCTGAAATAGCTGGGCAGCCTCGCTCAAAACAGACGTTCCCCAAAAATGCTTAGTGCCCAGGGAGAGCGGTGTTAAGAATCCTATTAGAACTGTCTTCTACAGGGAACGTTTTATATCATTTCTAACTGAGTCAACAACAGAGGAAAGTAAAAGTGTATAGCCCTGGCCTGGTAGCTCAGTTGGTTAGAGCATTGTCCCGATATGCCAAGATTGTGGGTTTGACCCCCAGTCAGGGCACATGCAGGAACCAACCAGTTCATGCATGAATAAGTAGAACAACAAATCAATGTTTCTCTCTGTCTCTCTCCCTTCCTCTCTCTCTAAAACTCAATCAATAAAAAATTTAAAAATGTATACAAAAATGAAAAATATTTTCACATGTATTATCAAAAATGATTAAAACTGAACTGAAAAAAATTCAGCACAAATTTTGTACCAAATAATTTTAATGCTTTTATTAATATATTTTTATTGATTTTTTTTTTTTTTTTTTATCCTCACTCGAAGACATTTTTCCATTTTTTGTTCAGATAGAGTGGGAGGGAGGGAGAGGAAAAGAGAGAGAGAAACATTGATGTGAAAGGGACACATCGAGTGGCTGCCACCCACACGACCAAACAAGGCCGGGGACAAACTGCAACCGAGGTATGTGCCCTTAGCGGGAACTGAACCCAGGTTGCTCTGGACCGCAGGCCGATGTTCTAACTGCCGAGCCAAACCGGCCAGGGCTATTGATTTTTTTTTTTTTTAGAGAGAGAGGAAGAAGAGAGACATAGAAACATCAATGTGGGAGAGAAACATCCATCAACTGCCTCCCTCATGGCCCCCACTAGGGATCGAGCCTGCAACCCGGGCATGTGCCCTGACCAGGAACAGAACCAGCGATCTCTTGGTCCATGGGACGACACTCAATCCACTGAGCCACATCAGCCGGGCTCATTTTAGTTCTTGCTCCTAACTCATTCTCAAGCATTATTTACAGAAATCCAAGCTATGTCATATCCTCTGAAGTATATTTTCATTAGAATTCTATTTTGAGCACACCTTTTGTTAAGTTGAGACAATTGGACTAATATTTCAAGCCAAGAAAAACTCCTGCTGAATATGGAGAAGAAAAATAAGGTTTTTAGGGGTGAATACGTCCAATTTGCTAGTAATGCCAAGTGCTTTAATAAGAAATTAACCTCTCAAATTCAACAATATGAAAACCTCTGTAACATTTGATTTTCTGAAATTCCCCAGAAAATGCCCACGTCTTAGCCCCGAGGGCGTGGGTGACATTCTGTGAGAGGGCCAGGGAGAGCAGATCTCTTCAAACTTCCCTTCTGTGTAATACGAAGGGCTGAGAGATGTAATTCAGAGTTTGCAATCACTTTAACAGTCAATCATATTTTAACAAACCGCTCTTAGATAATTCCTCTGGATTTTACAAAGGAGCACTTTGGGGACAGCTGCTGTGTCTGCAGCCCCTAGGGGCCAGACACAAACAGGCAGCGAGTGTTTGAAAGGAAGCTGCCAACTGTCCATGGGGAATCTGGTATGAACAGCTTTTTCTGGAGCAGAGAGGTTTTTCCCTGTAAGGTACCAGAAGAGCCTAAGTAGATAAACTGATTATACAGTTTCAAGTATTGCGATGAAGAAAACCTTCAGACACAGAATTTAATGTACAGAACTCTAAGAATGGGCTCACATTTGAAGGAACTAGGTTAGGGGCAGCCACTGTTCCTTACAGGGGCAGATATTTTGGGCTTTGTTGGCCATAATGGTCTCTGTCACACTACGTGACTCTGCCCAATAGTGCAAAAAACAGCCACAGATAATAGGGAATGACTGAGTGTGGCTGTCTTCCGAAAAACTTTATTTGCAAAAACAGATGGCAGCTGGTTTGACCCATAAGCTATAGTTTGCCAAGTCTTGAAGATTACTTAGTAAAATAAAATAAAATAAAATAAAAGGGGGTTCCTGGATTCTTTGACCAGGGACAGGCCACCAGAATTTTTGAGCACTGCTCCCTCACCTGCCTGGAGAGGGCAAAGGGCTGTAGACGTTGCCGTAGCAGCTGGGGTAAGAAGGACGTGCTGGGGTCTCGTATTCAGAAAGCCCTACTGTTATCTGAGTCCTCCAGCTCCCAGAGGCATTTGTAGAAGACACTAGAAATAAAAATGAAAAAATGGACAAAATTAGTGGTAATATTTAGAGTGAAAATTGTTTAGGCCATTTATACATACATTATAATCAGCTGTGTGCAAAACAGAGCGTAAGAACCAGTGTTTGGAATCAGCTAAGTTCCAGTTCCAGTCTGGTCACTTACTGGCTGTGTGACCTTGGACAAACAGCTTATCCTTGTTAAGCCTCAGGTTCTTCATCTGAAAACTGGGGATAACAATATAAATATATCCTTATAGAGATAATATCAGAATTAAATAAGGTAATGTATGAAATTACTTAGCTCCTGGCACAGAGTAAACACTCAATAAATGATAATTATTAATATTATTCATGGGGATGAGGTTAATTAAAAGACATTCTATAAAAAAAATAACCCAAAAGACAAGCCAGATATATTGAATCTTCCCATTGGGTGGCTGGGACACAGGGCTCCAGGTGCACAGGCGACGACCGAGTTCTTGGAGGCCTTCTGAGGAAGAGTTCCTGTTGAGCTGTTGAGACTTGACTGATCCTCAGCCAAAGGCAACACTGGTCACTAGGAGGATTAAGGCATATTTTTTGCCTTTATAAAAAGGTGGACAGGTGGGGAAGGTAACTAGTATAAAGAGGGTTTCAGGAAGAATAGATTTAGCTTTATTGAGGGGCCGGACTGGAACAAGACAAGGGCATAATTTGGGAGCAAAGCCCAGTAATGCCTTGTCACTGGGCGCTGACTGTCCCCTCTCTAAGACCAGTCCTGCTCCACACCTAGGATGCACAGGCGACCACAGTGCCGGGCTGGTCATCCAAGACTAAATAACCAGCGCTGCTCATGGTCCTTCCAGCTGTCTGCCCTTCTTTCTGTTCCTGGCAGCCAACTTCCTCCTCTTCTCTCTCACACCCACGAAGCACTTCTGACCCGAGTGGGGCGAATACACTTCAAAACCCTGGATGCCACCAGGTTTTGACTCAAAGACATAACACTCGCATTTCAGTCAGGGCTGTGAGGCTTGGTGGTCGAGATGTCAGGGCTGGAATTGAATTCTCACTCCACCACTGACTAGCTTTGGAGCAGGGTCACTCACACTCTGAGCCAGACCTGCCTCAGCTGTACAGTAGGACGATAACCACAGCACAGGGCACAGACTGCTGCGCACACTGCACGGGACTGCACACGACGTGCCTGCCAGGTGCATGGCACAGGGTCAGATGCCAGTCAGTGCGGCTGCATCACTACTCAGACTGAGCCACCGAGAGAGCTTCCAGGGGCTGGAAGGAACTACGAACCCCTGATCATTTGGCAAAAAATCGGGAACTTATCACCTGTTGTAATTCATTTCTGTAGCTGTAAAATACAGACAGGAACGAGGAAAATCCCAAAAGGAATTCTGGGAGCACTGACTCTACAATATCTCCTTCCTTAGAAAAGGGTGCCTTTTGGTCTATGGAGCCAAATCCAGCCGGCATTAGCGAGGCTCACACAGGGTTCCAATCAGGACACATTAACTCCATTCTCCTCTTTACCCCCAAACTGAGCCAACTGCTGGAGTGTTGGCGGCTCGGGGCTACACCTGCTCCTCCCTGGCCTCGCTGTTTAAGGAGCCGTACCCCAGCCCTGGGCCCTGATGCCCATCCACATGCACCTGAGCCCTCCTGGCTTGTTTCTGCCTTTGCAGCACTCTGCCCAGGTTTGGTTTCCGGAACTTCAGGGGGAAGAAAGGCATTCTCTAGATCAGAGCCATAAATAACAAGAAATAATTACAGGGGCCTTTTCAGGAGTTAGATGTGGCATTAGATGGGTGAGCACTTGTGGAAGTCCAAAGTCCTGCACAAACAGAAGGGAGCTCAAACCCAAATAGAAATCTCCATGGAAATGCCTCTTGTGAACAAGCTTATGAAACTTTTAAAGGTACAGTTTTCACTGACTTTTACACCATGATTTGAGAATCCCGGCGCATGTCTCATAGAGAGTCACGTTTGAAGAAGGGGGCAAGACTCCCGCTCTCAGGGGTTCATGGCTGTTCAAAAATTCATTCATTTCTTAGAACCTTTAAAATGGCTCAATTTTCATACATTCCTCTGGCTGCTACCTGAAGTGTGAGCTCATCAAGGCCAGAAAGTGTTCCAGCACCAGCTCCCCAAGCACCCTAGATGTGCCTGTGTGTTTGCTGAAGACATTAGACCAGAGACAGACACTCTTCTTATCCACCCATTTCTCTGCCTAAAGTTCCCGCACAGCTGCGGGTATGCAGTAAGTGCCCCACAAATGCCAGCAGCGTTAGGGGCCAAAGACAGTGCATGAAGGGAACTAAACAAAACTATCTTTGAAAAGCCCTTACACCAACTGTGAACTGGACTATACATGATTATTGAGTTGAGACAAGACATAAAAAGTTCTTCCAATAGTGCCAGGAACAGCACTTAGGAAATGCCAGCTTCTCTCACAGTTATGAGAAGCTGTATGCAGGCACTGAGCATCCAAAACAAACTGATCAAACTCCCGGCACTGAACAGAAAAGGAGGTATAATCGTTTTCTTCATACTAGTCTGTTCTTTTAATACATCAAACCTCAATGACCTGAACACGTGTAAGAGATGTGACTGTCAATACCAGACCCAGAAAAGACGAAATACGTGAAGCCCCTAAAGTAGGGCAGCATATGGAGCAGGTGCTCATTGAATGTTTGTTGGATTTCAATCTACAACTTGCTTCATCAGACCCGTGTGGACTTTGGAGAGCTGGAGGGACCCGTTTGAAGGTGGCAATTCTTATTGTGGCTCCACCCCATGACTACCACCCTCCTGACCTCGGGTGTTGTTCTCCTGATCCTTGAGGGGCATGGATCGGTGTGCGGGAGCAAGGGGCAGAGTCACATCGGACGGCAAGTGCTGCCTCACCTGAAGAGTAGGAGGACGCGCGGCTGCCTGGAGAGCAGGGCAGCTGCAGCCTCTGGAGGCCCCTGTCCGAGTCGAAGCTGGTCTGGGGGCTGTGCCCCTGCTCCTTCTGCCCCGAGGCCCGCTGGTACCAGCCACGCAGGTGCTCTGCAACTAAGGCCTTGTGGATGTTCTTGGTGATGCGCTCGGACGCGGCGGCCTTCCTCGGCAGCCGGAGGGTTGCATATGGGTTATGGGGCACGCGGTCCCCCTCGTCTTCATGGAAGGACCTGCTGTAGTCCCGCTGGCGGTCGGATCCATAGTGGGCCGAGGAGCGGTAGGAAGGATTGACACTGTACTGTCCTTCCGTGTCATTCTCGTAGACGTAGCCACCGCTGTAATAAAGGTCACACTCTGCATATGGCGTGTACCCAGCGATGTAGTAGCTGGAAGAGGGCTGCTCGTGGCTCTTGGCGTAGCCGCCGTTCCTCAGGCTGTCCCTCTGGGCAAGGTTAGGCATGCTCCCCGAATTGGAGGTGGAAGCGTTCTGTTTCTTGGACCTCCTCCGGCTCCGGGCACGGGTGTCCAGGGTGTGGGCGCTGTGACAGGGGCCTGCCACCGGCGTCACGCAGTAGTACTCGGCGCTGGACTGGCTGGTGCAGGAGGACCCGTCGTCCAGGACCTCGGTGCTGCTGCTCCTCTGGGATTTGCAGATGGAGAAGAACGGCCTGTCGTGGTCCGTGTCCAGCAGCAGGTGTGACTGGGACTCCAGGCTGCCGCTCCGCTGGCGGAGGTGCTGCGATGAGGACTCGGGCCTGGCAGAGGAGGAAAGCAAACTTGTGAAAGAGAAAGGAGGAAAGGGGACCAAAGTAAGGAAGAGGAACGCCACAGTGAGGGATTCGTAGTCACTGAATTGCAAAAGGGCTTTTAAGGTTTCCCAAGCTGACCGCGCAGTAGAGCCCATTGGTTCACATTCAAGTTCACTGCCATGGTCAAAATGAGAAAAGAACCAGGTTCTGTCAATTGTGTAACCCATGTCCTTTCTTGAGAATCAGAAACATCAACTGATGATGCAGACTTTCATCAAAGCCCGAAAACAACCACCACACAGCCTTTGACGGGTCCTGCCTGCCAACAGGACAGGACCCTGTGTGCACAGGGGCTGAGCGAGTCTCGGCTCTGCCCTTTCCACTGTGTTATCCTGGCCAAGGCGGTTAACCTCTCTGCACCTCGCTTCCCCTGTAAAGTGAGGACAAAACTGTGCCTAATATCTAGTTAGGCTTATTGTGCAAACAAAATAACATGGTGCAAAAACACAGCAGAGCCGTCAGTAAATACTTCGAAATGTCACTGCTGTCATTATCTGCAGCCTCACCATTGCATGACAAATGGTTACACCTATTTGGAAGATTAAGGTAAGAAAACAGCCCTGGCCAATTTGGCCCAGCGGTTAGAGTGTCGGCCTGCGGTCTAGAGAGACCCGGGTTCAGTTCCCGCTAAGGGCATGTGCCTCGGTTGCAGTTTGTCCTCGACCCTGGTTGGGTTGTGCGGGTGGCGGCCACTCGATGTGTCTCTTTCACATCGATGTTTCTATCTCTCTCTTCCTCTCTCTCCTCCTGCTCTATCTGAACAAAAAAATGAAAATATATCCTCAGGTGAGGATAAAAAAAAAAAAAGGTAAGAAAACAAAACAATATCAACTTGAACATATTATATTTTCTTTGCCAACATGTGTGGTATGGTGAGTAGGAAATGCAGATCCATAAAATAGAGACCTGCTGTCCAAAGTCCCTTAAAATGATTACAAAACACAACAAAGTAAAACAAAACCTTAAAGCAAAGATGAAAGAGCCAAGGAGACTTAAAGAAGCGCTCTTACTCCAGGTGGCTGCTGCTGTAGGCGTTTCGGGTGAGCACAGGGGTGGTGGGCATGCTTCGTCCTCCCTGCGGCCGCCTCTCCGGGGTTTTGTAAGGGCTGCTGTGTGTCGACAGCATTTCTCTGTGATGGGAAAAGAATTCAGGAGATGATGAGTCTCCAACATCTCTGGCAAACTTGTCATAAGCTGAAAGAAAGGGCGCACAGGCAGAAACACGGGAAGTGTCTCGGTGGTGTGGTGCCCTGGCACGTCCTCGGTGAGTTTTAGAAAAGTCCATGTGGTCTGACTCTCTAAGTCATAAGTATGAAGAAAAAATAAAGCAGTTTTAAAAAAGCATGCACTGAATGAAATAGACTAAAAGCAATAGAGCAGGGGCAGCAAGCTTTCTCAGAGAGTAACCATGTGTGTCTTCACATCACAAAATACTATTGCTTTTGATTTCCCCTCCAACCATCTAAAAATATGAACATCATGCTTAGCTCATGGGCCATATAAAGCAGGGGTTGGGATGAACCCGGCCCGTGGGCCACGGTTAGCTGGCCCTGGTCTGCAAGGCAACCTTCTTAAATCCGCTGCCCACTTCCTAGCACAGTGAGAAAACAATTTGAATTTAATTTTTAAATTAAATGACTTCGATTAACTTTTTACTTATCACAAAAGCATGTCAAGTTCATTGCAAAAAAGTTCAAAGATACAGATAAAAAAAAATTTTAATGTCTATAACCTGATACCTTACAGCCAGTCAACACTAAGTATTTTCAGATATTTTTCCTAAGCATATATACTTTTAAGCATTTATACTTTTTAACAACAAAAAATGAGGTCATACTGTATATTCTTTTTCAAAACCTACTTTAAAATTGTAAATTATATTAATGTTTCATGTTGCTTAATATTTGTTTACAAAGTTATCTTAATGACTATGTATCATCCCACTGTAAAGATTTACCATGATTTATTTAAACAATACATTTGGGTTGCTTTCAATTTGTCATTAATATAAACAATGCTGCAATAAGCATCCTATATTTAATTAGTTCAACAGAAAAAAATCCTGTAAGTGAAATTACTTGGTCAAAGACCAAACTCATTTTAAGCTATTGGGGATGTGGGCATAATAATTTTTAAGATAATGATTCTTTTTTAAAAAAATCCTCACCTGAGGACATTTTCCCATCAATTTTCAGAGAGAGTGGGCGGAAGAGAGAGAGACACATTGACTGGTTGCCTCCTGCACGACCCCGACCAGAGCTCAGGATTGCAACCAAGGTACGTGCCCTTTACTGGAATCGAACCCGTGATCCGTTGGTCTGTGGGCTGATGCTCTAACCGCTGAACCAAACTGGCCAGGGCAAAATAATGATTCTTAATGATAATTTTTCCTTTTGCTGAAGTAGCTTTGTTTCCCCATCTAATAAATATGTAACTTGTCCCAGCCGACAGGGCGTCCTTCAGTGAGGAGTGTGCTGGGCCTGGGCTGCCCTGTCCTGCAGACTCCGCCACATGGGCAGTGCACTTGAAATGGCTAGTGCAACTGAGGAGCTGAGTTTTTAATTTCATTTAATTTTCATTATGTCAGACAGCAGAGCTCTGGACACTAGGATCTCTCCTGTTTAAGGCAACAGTTCTTAAATGCCAATCTACAAATGGAGCTCATATGTGACAAAAGTTTTCACTTGTCTTTGACAAATCAGAAATATAATCAAGTATTGGTTTTACCTTCATGAGTGAAACATTATTTAATCTAAATAATCTTTTATTTTGAGACTCATTTCCATCCTTGCTGAGATATAGTATAACATATTGACCAAAATCACTACGGGTTTTGGAGTAGGCTACCTAGGTGCAAATCCTAATTCTGATACCTACTAGTTGATTCATGCTTTCTGGTCCTTGGTGTACTTGTCTGTAAATGGTGACGACAGTAGCAGTCTTATCAGAATCGTTGTAAGGATTAAACTCATTTATATTCACTAAAGCACTTCAAACTGTGTCTGAACAACATATAGGAAGCCCTCAATAAATGCCAACTTCATCTCATTATTATTGTTATGATAATGATGATGGATGTATCTTTTATATTTATCTGTCCTTTTGTCCATGAAATCATGGTGGTGTCTGTTTGAACATCCTGATTAGGTAAAGTACATAGTTGCCAATCCTATCTTGGGTCCTATTTAAAAAATTAGTATTAATTCATGTAGCCAAATTTTGGGAATCACTGGTCTGTCATCTGTTTAAAATCTGGTATTATTACCCTGGTAATTTTTACCTGAGATACTTGAGAAAAGAGTTGTGCCATCAGTTTTATAGATTATAAAGAATTTAACTCCCACTTTTATTTGAAAAATCAGAAGTCAGTCCCGTCACTTGGTTGGGTTAAAATGGTATTTAATGAGTTTCCTGATAGCATGAGTTATAAAACTAAACTTTGGACACTATACCCAAATCCAGATGATAATTAATGCCCTTATAATTTAATATAGATCTTTAAATACAAGGAAATAGCCACACGTTTTGTAAACATTCTTACTGGTGTCACCGCCAGGCACTGGGGCCAGCTTCCCTGCACAGGAACCCCCGAGGACAAGCAGGGAAGACAAATGGGCGCGGCTCGGAGCAGACCCGCGGCAGGCAGCGCCCCCTGCCGGCGCCCCCTCACCTGGACTGCCTGGCCTCCGCCAGCTGCTCGCTGAGCGAGGGCTTTCTGAAGTGGATCCGCTCAATGCCCAGAGACTTCGGGGGCAGAAGTCCTGGAGAACGAGGCGCTGAACTTGATCGCTGCCCAGCCAGAGTGAAGGCGTCGTTGGCTATAAAAAGGAAACGAGTGGATGAGTAAATAAGTAGGTAAGTAAATAGATACTGTGCCAATACCCCAAGAAAGAAATGAGAAGATCCGGTAAAGTGTTCTTCCAGTGGTGATGTTTCTAGAAGCACATAACTTTCAGGGAGTAGATTTTTATGTGATCCACTACAGAAAAGAAATCACTGGATACTCTTGTGGGGCCTGACCCAACCTGTGCCAGTTCAGTAGGCGCCGCTCTCAGCAACGACCTCTCTCAGGTGGAACACGGTGATACTCTAGGTTTTCGGAAGTTCTTTTGCTGAAAAATCCCAGTGTAAAAAGCCAAGAGAAAGTTGCCCAACTTTACTGGCCTCTGGCTGACCGAAGGCTCGCCCTGGCAGATGACACTGACTACTGAGGGCCTGGAGCCCGCGTCCCACTGTCAAACAGGAAGGGGAGCGTGAGCGAGCTCCGCTGGCGGGAGGGCTCAAACGGTGCAACTTCACGCACCGTGAGGCTTGGGGGAGGCAGAGCAGGGGGAGCGGCTCTGCCAACTTGCTTAAACCCCATCAGCTGGACGCTGCCACCTGTAAGAAACCATCCATCGTTAAGTGGTGGAACACACAGGCCATCACAGCACTGTGTCGTGACACAACACAACACACAGACACAACTTTGTGTCTATGAAACCAACATAGTGACATGTAACCTAATTTCTAAAATGTATATTTCTTCCTAAGGAAAATAAGATTAATTCCCAGTTATCCAGAATACAGTGATAATCACAGTCTACACTATAATTTCCTGGTTTGATATTGTACTCCAAATATATAAAATGCCACCACTGGGAAAATCTGGGTAAAGGACTGTATTACTTATGCAAATATATAATTATTTCAATAAAAAGTTAAAAAAAATTCTATAGAGCCTTACAAATCCTTATTGAGAGACTCACTCATGTTATGGTATTCTTTTTAAAAAATCATTTATTTTGCAATTACAGTTGACATACAATATTATATTAGTTTCAGGTATGCACGCCAGTGATTAGACATTATAAAACTTACTAAGGGATTATCCCCAAAAATCTCATACCCATCTGACACCATACATACTTATTAGATTATTATTGACTATATTCCCTATGCTGCACTTTATACCTCCATGACTACACTATAACTACTAATTTGTACTTCTAAATCCCTTCACCTTTTTCACCCATCCCTGCAACAGCCCTCCCCTCTGGCTACCATCAAAATGTTCTCTGTATCTCAGTCTGTTTCTGTTCTGCTTGTGATTTTTAGATTCAATTATTGATAGATACGTATTTATTGACATTTTACTGTTCATATTTTAAATCTTTTTTTTTTTTTTGTCGTCTTCTTTTTCTTAAAGATGACCTTTTAACATTTTATGTAATACTGGTTTGGTGGTGATGAACTCCTTTAGCTTTTGCTTGTCTGGGAAGCTCTTTATCTGACCTTCAGTTCTAAATGATAGCTTTGATGGGTAGAGTAATTGTGGTTGTAGGTCCTTGCTTTTCATCACTTTGAATATTTCTTGCCACTCCCTTCTGGCCTGCAAAGTTTCTGTTGAGAAATCAGCTGACAGTCTTATGGGTGCTCTCTTGTAGGTAACTAACTGCTTTTCTCTTATTGCTTTTTAAGATTCTCTGTCTTTAACCTTTGGGATTTTAATTATGATGTGTCTTGGTGTGGACCTCTATGGGTTCATCTTTTTTGGGACTCTTTGTGCTTCCTGGACTTATATGTCTATTTCTTTCACCAGGTAAGGGAAGTTTTCTGTCATTCTTTCAAATAGGTGTTTAATTTCTTACTTCCTCTCTTCTCCTTCCAGTACCTCCATGAGGCAAAATGTTAGTGTGCTTGAAGTTGTCCCAGAGTCTCCTCACACTATCTTCATATTTCTGAATTCTTTTTTCTTTTTGCTGTTCTGATTGGGTGTTTTTTGTTTCCTCATAAACTAAATTTTTGATTTGGTTCTTGGTGTCCTCTACTGTATTGTTAATTCCCTGTGAATTATTCTTCATTTCAGTTAGTGTATCCTTTATTTTTGACTGGTCCTTTTTTATGTTGTTGATGTTCTCACTAAGTTCCTTGAGCATCCTTATCACCATTGTTTTGAACTCTATTTCTGGTATATCATTTGCTTCCATTTCATTTAGTTCTTTTTCTGGCAATTTCTCCTATTTTTTCATGTGTGACATGTTTCTTTGTGTCTGCATTTTGGCTGCTTCCCTGTGTTTGTTTCTATGTATTAGGTAACACTGCTGTGTCTCCCAGACCTGCTAGAGTGGACTTGAATAACTGGTTTCCTCTAGGGCCCAGTGGCGAAACCTCTTCAGTCACCTGAGCAGAGCACTCCAGATATACCCCTATGTGGGCTGTGTGTACTCTCCTGTGTGCACTTGAAGTTGAGCCTTGATTGCTGTTGGCGTCACTGGAAGGAACGACCTCCAGACCAATCGGCTGTGAGGACCGGCAGCTACTGCAGCTGCAGAGCTGCTGTGCAGGAGCCAACCCCACGGAGCAGGACCTGCTTCAGTGGGACTCTGGTGCTCATCGCGTCTGCCCCTTGAGTGTGTCGCTCGTGGAGGTTGCAGGGCTGTAATCTGGTGTGGTCTGAAGCTGACTGCCAGGTGCACTGGCTCTGGGCCTCCCGGGAGGGGCAAGGTCAGCCCCTGCCTGTGCTCTGCCTGCGGCCACCCAGCATGAGCTACAGAGTGATCTGCAGATGGCTGCTACTTGTGTTGGGCTTGGAGGTGCCCAGGAGAGACCAAGCTGAGAACCAAGGTGGGCAGTCGCTAGTGCCAGGCCTGGGGCTATGTATCGAGAGGTAAGGGGCACGCTGAGGCCAGCTGCTGCCTGTTTGAGAGATTTTAGGAAAGTCTGAAGCAGGAGCCAAGACAGGCCATTCATATGGAAAAGCCACTGGAAACAGCTTGGATGAGCCTACAGGTTGGGTGGGGCGGGGTCTCAGGGAATCATGGGAGGTGGGGGGGGGGAGGGTGGAAGCAAAGAGTGTGATGCAGGTTGACGGAGACTTAGACATGGTGCCTACCTGTGGGCTCTGTGAGGGGAGGGCTCAGCAAGGGAACAATGGCCTCTGCCAGCACTATGTTCTGGGAGAAATCTGCCCCCACAGCTCTTGCCCTGATGCCAGAGAAGTTAGTTCCTCCCCATATGCCCCTGGTTCCTTTCCAGCTGCTGCCCCAGTGCTGCAGCTCAGAGGGAGTGAATCTGAGTAAATCCATGCTCTGGCCCTTTAAGAGGAACTGCCTGGGACTCCAACAGCCTCTGTTTCACCCAGCCACAATCCTGCTGGTTTTTACAGCCCGAAGATATGGGGACTTTTCTTCCTGGCACTGCAACCCTGGGCTGAAGAGTTTGGTGTGGGGCTCCTCAGCGGGGACCTCCACAGCCAAGATATCCCTTCCGATTAAAAACCACCACACGTGGGTGTGGGCCCAGCTCATTCAGAGCCTCCGCCCCTCCTACCGGTCTCCATGTGGCTTCTTTAATGCCCTAGCTGTAGGACTTCCATTCAGCGAGATTTCAGGCAGTGGTGAATGATGATTTGTTTTGTAGCTTGTTGTAATTTTGATGTCGTGGGAGGAGGTGAGTATGCGTTTACCTGCACCACCATCTTCACCCTGTCTCATGTTATGGTGTTCTGGTTCTCGAAGTCATGCAGTCTGCAAGGTACTGTATTTAACACTAACCTGTGTAGAAGTTCATTGTAATCCCTCTTTCCCAACCTTTCTGCATAAATGTGAGCTAGTTCTACTGTTCAATAAAGAAGAATAAGTAGGCTTCAGTTAACTAAAAAAATTATCTTACTATTTCAGAATAGCTAATATTTTAAACCAAAAAGGGGGAGCTACTTACGATCATCACAGGTGGTAGTGTCGGACAAAGAGCTGCTCTCCGAGGGGATTATGTCTTCTGTGGGTAACAAGGACTGCTGTTAGTATAGCCGCATTCAGACACCTACCATGAGTTGCACAGAGCAGTGTCTAGCACAGCGCATCTTAGAGAAATGTAACCACAGTACACCAAGAATAATTATTATACGAATGGGCCCATTTACTAATGAAGATATAAACATCTCACATATTTTATAAATATTACACTGGATTATTTCTTAAAATGAAATAGACTTCAAGGGAGTTTTGGTTTTCAATAGTTTCAATCTAGTTTCTACACAGAATGAAAACTGGACCCCACACTGAGTGCTTACAACCCACACTGGGAAGAAAGATCATGCCATTCATGTCATCAGTGCTAAAAGCTGTGTCATACACGCCTGGATGCTCACTGAGAGCCTCCTGCCAGCGTGCTTTGCTGTAGAGCCCTCTCCTGAAGAAAGGGGCTGTTTTAAATAGAGTGTGGACTCTTTGTGGTGCGTAAGCTTTTCCACTAGGTGAGTTCTCTCAACAGTGTGTGGCACTACTGACATTTTGGATAATTCTTGTTGGGGGACCTGTCCTTTGCTTTGAAGGGTCTCCAGCCTCCACCCACTGAATGTTCAGAGCACGCTCACCCTCCATTGTGATAATCAAAAGTGTCTCAGACATTGTCAAATGTTCCCTGGGGGCCAAAATTGCCCTGGATTTAGAACCACTGGATTAGACAGGCCTGGGTTCAAATCCCGTTAAATTACTTAATCTCTCTGAGCATCATTTGGTTCTGTTTAAAAATGGGACAGGAACAGTTCCTGCTGAATAGTGCTGAGGTGAGCATTAAGTGAAATGATGGCTGCAGAGCCTTTAGCCCGGCTCCTGGCACAGGACAAATGCTCACTGAGCATGAGCTACACTTACTACTTTGTGACCTAGACACAGTGTTGTGGGGAAAGAACTCTGGTGGCTGGACATGCCCGTAGTGCTCTCGGTATTAGTGGTGCCCATCATGTGTTAAAACATGGATTTAGCAGAAAGAGGCATCTCAGATGTTTTGATCAGCTTTGGCAAACCATTTTCACTCAGTGTCAAGTGTTGGTAAGATTATGGTCAAATGCGACGCCTCAATGCCAGCTCCACAGCCTCATGAAGGGGATCTCTCCAGCCAATGTTCACTTCCATCAGAGCCGGGTGGACTAGCTCTGAATTGGGCAGTCGAGCCTGAAGGCAAGGTGCCAGCATAGGCAGCTGTCAGACACATTTAAACAAATCTACTCAGCGTGCATGCTCAGCCACTGGCACCAGCTGCTGCCCAAACGTCAGTCACTGTCAGGACACTTGAACGCTGCCCAGGTGGGGAGGGCTGGGCCACGCAGACGGCTGGGAGAGTTAAGCGCACTGCTAATCGCCCTGCTCTGTGAGCACAGAGCAGAACCGCCACCAGGCCAACGGGACTTTGGGTGCAGAATCCAAGCCGTCCTAAAGTCTTCAGCTGCAGTTGACTACCACTAGTGTGTTGATGTCTGTGCCTTCGCTTGCCAAAGTCATAGGCCCTGAACCCGAGTATGCTTCAAACCCAGTTACCATATTTTGTCAAATCTAAGCTATATAATTATTTTACGTCCCAGTGAAAAAAGAAAAATTTACTGCCAATCATAACTATAACACCGTCTAGTGTAAGAATGATCCCAATTTCACAGATGTTTAAATGTGAAAAATAAATCTTGGAATCAAAGAAATAGAATCAGGTTTCAACCAATGATGAAGGCTGAAAACCATGCTAATAAATATGTAAGGCCAATTGGACTTGAAATCTACCTAAATGAGATTTTTTTTCAGTTTACTTTTTTCTGAATATGAAAGTTTTAGATAATGTTTTAGAATTTTGAAAATATAGAAGAGTGTTAAGCAGAAGTGTAAATAAGAAGAACATTACTTGAAATTCCACAACTACTAGTATTTTAAAATACTTCCCAACAAGTCTTTGTGTGAACAGTTATATTATGTTGGGACCATGTTGCATTACAATTTTGTATCCTGCCTTTCTGCATTTCATGCTATAGTATGAACACTTGCCTGTATCTTTAAATAGTCCCTGTACATGACAGTGCTTGTAAGAGCTATTTCCTATCCACAGAAGTTGGGTAGGTCCTTAAACACTGTGTGGTCTGCTGCATTAAAAACCTTTGGGGAACTACCGGGTAGGACCCTGGTGTCTCTCTCTCTCTTTTTTAAAATATGTTTTTATTGATTTTTTTAGAGAGAGAATAAAGGAGAGGGAGATAGAAACATCGATTGGCTGCCTCCTGCATGGCCCCTGTGGGGATCGAGCCCGCAACCTGGGCACGTGCCCTGACCAGGAATCGAACCGGGGCCTCTCAGCCCATGGGACTCGCTCAATCCACTGAGCCACGCCGGCTGGGTAAGGACCCAGCTTTCTTAATTCTTTGTGTTGTCAAATGTATTTCCTGCAGTGCCACCAGGTCAGTTAAAGGTGAATCTGTCTTATTATGAACCAATATTGTTGTGAAAACTTTCAACCCGAAAATTAAAGCAATGCAGTAGTAATGCATTATTACAATACTGAGAATGTCACTGAAAACCAAGTTTACATAGTTGTGAGACTGAAATTCCAAACCATTTTTATCCCAAGAAAATTATCTTTAATCCTGTTCTTTCTTTTACGTCTCACCAAATGAACTGGTTTGGAAATGCTACACACCATCAAGAGTCAGACATGACTCAGAAAACTTCGCTTTTACTAACCTGGTAAAGTAGCCGTCCCTTTCTGGCTCGGTTTCTTCCCACATCTAATCCGGCGTTCATTTATCGCATTTTCGATCTCCTGAAGCTTTTTCATTGCGTCTGTGTAATCTTGCTTTCGTTTTTTCTTGACAGTTTTACATAGGTCTGGCTCATTGGCAAGTTTCTTTGCAGCTTCCGCCAGCTTTTGCTGTATGAGGAAGTTGCTCTCCAGCTCTTGCAGAGCAGGGTCCTGCATGGACACAGCGATACCGTTCCGTTTCTACGCAGTCGCGCCTACACACACTAGCCACAGGTCAGACTTCTGGTGCATTCTCACATCAGGGGCTCTTTGGGAGTAAAATCTTTCCAAATTTTGCTGCCTAGGTATCCTCAAACCCTTTCCTAAGAGACAAAATCTCCCTCGCCCACTTACATAAACTTCTCATCCTCTTTCCTTTTCAAAGAAAGGAATGGCCTTTCATTCATTCAGTTGGTTGAGGAAAGATCATGTTTTTCCAGAAGGGATTCTCACCCCAAGTTTCACAGATGCAGAATGCTGTCCTTACACGCACAGCTTTAGAAACATCAGTTTGGGTATGATTCCTATTTCTGGTGGTTCCTGGCCGCATGACCCTGAACACACTGCCTAATTTTTTAATGATTCAGTTTTTGTTTTTGTTTTTAAATGGAGATAACATCTACCTTACTCAAGTATACATGCATTTCTTAGTTCAGAGAAATGCTTGGAAGAGTAATGTAGTGAGAATTGTTATTTCAATTAAATAACAATTGTTAAATTGTCATGTAAATGAACTGTGCATAAAAGAAAGAATTCAAGTTGGTCTACATTATCATTTTCAACTGGTGAGATAAAAACGCACAGCCCTGACTCAAAAGCAAAGGAACAAGCCAACCGCCCTCAACAGACAGCTTTTCTGTCCCACGGTAAATGGAAATGCTGGGAGCTGGTGCTCATACCTCTTCACTGGGCAGCAAGTTGTCATCTAATCTGAACGCGGTACCTACACGCCTTCTGACCTGAGGAGGTTTCTCACCTATGCTCAGCGGGTATTCCTTTGGCATTTTGCCTGTGAGCTCCTGTGGAACAGAACAGATTTGAGAGAGGACAATAGACACCAGCCAGAGTTGTCAAACACCATTTAAAGAGCCCCCCGAACAGAAGAGACTCACAGCCTCCCGCAAACAGATCTTCTTAAGCTCCTCGACTTTTTTCAGGAGCTTTTCTTGCAACAGTTTTTCCTTCTTCTTGAGTTCAAGGATTTTCTCCCTCTTTTGCTCCTCACAAACTTCGGAGTCTTGAGAACCTGGGGGATTGGAGAGGAGGGGCAGGGAAGGTTCATGCAAGGGATGCTTCCTTCCTTTTTTAAAGGACAAAGGATTTTTAAGCCAAACAGGCTACTACAGAGTTTATTTCTTTCTGAACATAATAAAAGGAAACTGGAAAACATTTTCTCATGCTTCTGGGCCTCAAACATAGCCTGGTAATAAAATGTGCCTTTTGCATTTTGGCTCAGTGATTTTAGAAGCAATAATAAAATGTTTAATGTTTTAGACACGCCCAAGGAAAAACTGAATTTTTCTGAGCAGGTGAGGTGGTTAGATGTGGTAGTTGCTAAGAATGTTCTCTTAGAAAGCAAGCAAGGCAAAGGAATGTTCTGTGTTTCTGATTCACAAGTTGACAGTAAAATTCTAATGGGGAAATTCATTTTAGTGAAGTTATATACACTAAGTGATAAAAGATTCCAGAATTTCTGCAAAGGGCTTGGGGAATCAATCACGGAAGAGAGGGAGGCTGTTCAAAGCTTTTAGTCACATTTGACTTATATTAAATGGAGAATTAGACAACTGTCTGTATCAAAACTAAATATAGGGGGGAATAAAAAGCTGATAGAATTTATGGGGAGAAAATGTCCTTTCAAGATACCCCTAGACACTCACTATCTTTGTATCTAGTGTTACTTATGCAACCTGACTGTTTATAATTTAATTTTATACTTTTTGAAAGTAGTTTAAAATTTTTATTCAAAACTGCTGTGTACTATAATTTTGTTATGCTTACTTATTCCCAAAATAATGGCTGAAAAGATGCATTTAAAAGTGGTTTACAACAAAAAAGTGAAATAAACGAAAGATTGTCAGCACTCTGTCTAACCCCAGAATGTTACCCGAGGAGATGAAGCTGCCGTTGCTGGCCATGATGAACTGGCTCTTTGCCTCCAGAGTGACCAGTTTGGAGGTCCTCGGTGTTCCTGCCTCTGTCAACTCCATCGCGATGTCGTCTAAACTTCTCGCTGAAGGAATCTTTGCCTAAGAGATATACAATATTGTGATGGAATTCACTCAATTAAACCTATTTCAAATTAATAAAATGATTAAATACTATAGAACAAACATGGAGGACAAATTAGAATTTTTATACAGATACTAAAATGACACCTCAGAAAAAACAAGACAAGCTCTGTAGCTAAAACGTATTGCGATTCTTTCTTACGGCATAGTTCAGTCGTTAACTTTAAAATGTCACCAGTGTACACATACGTGCATTCTAACAACTAGGATATCTAACAACTTTTTGTATTTTTTTTTTCAATCCTCCCCCGAGGATGTGTTTTTACTGATTTTTAGGGAGAGAGAGGAATATTGATGTGTAAAGAGAAACATCGATCAATTGTCTCCCAACTGGGGATCGAACCAGTAACCTAGGTATGTGCCCTGACCAGGAATTGAACCCCAAATCTTTTGGTGTTGGGGACAATGCTCCAACCAACTGAACCACCCAGCCAGAGCAAATCTTACAACTTCTGAATCAGGTTACTCATTTTTTAAAGGTAAGAAAAATTAAAACAGTTGGTAGTAAAGTTAAAAAAACACACACACTAGAAGAACAAAAGCCCTTGCTTGCATCTTTTCTGAGAATCCTTATCTCTTGAATAGAAAGCAAATGCGGGTCGGGAGTTTATTCCTACAGAACCTCTCCTAGTCACTTACCTTGCTTTGCTTCCGATCCAAGTAAAACTGGTGCTGACTAATGGCCATTACCCAGATGGACTTGATGAGAGAAGAGTTGGCATACCAGGTCTGCACAAAGAGGCCACTTTGCCCAAAGGTTCTTCTTGACACGGAAATCCTGAAAGATTGAGAAAAGCACTCAACTTATTTGCCTCTGGCCCCAGCACAGCACAAAATGTATCTAGTGACTAATGTAATAAAGCATCTTCTTAATTGTTTCTTCGCTGCCACACTCTTACCCTGACAGGGCTCTGATTCCTCTTTTTGATAAACCAATCACATGTAGGTAATACCACTCTGCAAAACTAGAGTAATAAAAAATGCATACATCCCTGGCCAGTTTTGCTCAGTGGTTAGAACATCAGCCCGCAGACCAGAGTCTCAAGTTATATTCCGGTCAAGGGCACGTGCCTCGGTTGTGGTTTGACCCTGGCCCTGGTCGAGTTGTATGGGAGGAAACTAGTCCATGTGTCTCTCTCACATCGATGTTTCTCTCTCCCTCCCTCTCTCTCTTTCTCTCTCTCTCTTCCTCTTCCACTCTATCTGAAGATAAATGGAAAAATATCCTCGGGTGAGGATTAAAAAAAAAAAGCATACACACGCTCAAAAGCAGATAAGGATTAGTCAATTTAGTGGCTGTACTAAAAACAGTTAAAACCATCACAGGCAGTCGGGAATAAATGCGGTAAGGTTTTATTTTATTATTATTATTTTTTTATCCTCACCCGAGGACATTTTTCCACCTTTTGTTCAGATAGAGCAGGAGGGAGAGAGAGAGAAACATCAATGTGAAGGGACACATCGAGTGGCTGCCACCCGCACGACCAACCAGGGCCGGGGACAAACTGCAACCGAGGTACGTGCCCTTAGCGGTAACCGAACCCGGGTCTCTCTGGACCGCAGGCCGACGCTCCAACCGCTGAGCCAAACTGGCCAGGGCAAATGCAGTAACATTTTAAAGACAAAGACCTGGGGTATCAGCATCTTCCTCAGGCGAGAGAGTGAGCCAGGCTAGTGAGCAGCGGGACAGGAGACTGAGACAGACAGTTAAGCAGCAGTGTGCGGCCACCCAGGACATCCCCTCTTTCCTGAGCCACGGACACTTGAGAGGAAACAGTGTGCACTTCCCCCAACCAGAGGGTATAGTTGAAACCACCCTACTCAGGAGACAGACAGCAGAACTCCAATTAGTGCCCTTCGCCAACCACACCCAAGGACAGGTGAAGCTAAGGGAATAAACCTCATTTTGTACATCAGCATAAAGCTGAGGAATATTCTAGTGATACTCCCCTAAATGCCCAACCTTTAATACCCCTCAAAATGAAGGTCCCAGCTCATGTTGTCTGCCTGTCTCCCAGGAGCACGCTCGTGCCTTGCCCCACCCTGTTCTTCCCCCACAGGTGTGTCTCCTAAACTCTACGGGACCCCAAGAGGCTTAACCCAGGGCAACAATGGGCAGCAGCAGTTCGTCCCAGACAGACCCCTGAACCGGTCTCCAAGGTCCCTTTTCTCTGACTTCTCAGTGACCCACAGCAGCCTCGGCTCCTTTCCCAGCCCTTCCGTGTCTCACTGTCCCCAGCTTTAATAAGCGTCCTCTAAAGTTCACCCAGACTCATGTTGTGAAACTTTTCCTGTACGAAGTCAAGAACTCACACACACCCTGCTGGCCCTAGGCAGACCCACTCAAGGCCAGGTCCCCTTTCCGGTAACAAGAGCATCTCGGACCTAGATAGACTTGTCTGGCTCAGACATTATCAAAGGATGAACATAATAATATTGCCTAAAAGTACAAAGTCCAAACCTGGTCCAGAGTGCTGCTAGTGCATAAACCAGATGAAAGGAAGGATGGGGTGGAAGAGAGAAGGATGGGGGACGGGAGAGGGAAAGGGACCAGAGTTTGGGTCATCTTTTTGTTAAGGGCTGTTTCCTCGTGTCCTCCAATCATCCATAAATGTAACTGAAAAGCAACCACTGGTAAAGAATTGTCCGGGAGAGTTTGGAGAAACTACAGTCCTGACTTTAATTAATGTAGATAATTTGGCAGTTGGTTTTTAAAGTGATCAGGAATACCAAATTTTAAAATGAGCAAAAGATCTGAACATATATTTCTATAAAGATATACAAATGGCCAATGAGCACATGAGAGATGCTCAGCTGCCATCAGTCACCAGGAGAATGAAATGAGAACCAGAATGAGTTGCCATTTCACACCCCAGGACGACTGTTAAAGAACAACTGAACTAAAAATAACAAGTGTTAGGGAGGATGTGGAGAAATGGACCCATATATATATACTACTTGTGCAAATAAAAGATGGTGTAGCCGCTTTGGTACACCTCAGGCTGTTCCAAAGTTTAAAGAAAGAGTTAGCCCTTCATCAAGCAGCTCTGCTCCCAGGTATATACCCAAGATAAATAACACATGTCCACACAAAAACTGTGCACAAATGGTCATAGCGTTATTCATAAAGCTGCCAGGACCATACAGAGAAAAAACTGTGATCCTCACCTCCGTGGATCATGAACTTCAACAGCAAATTTTTTCTCACGGAAATATAAGTTCTCCAGCTGTTTCCATTGGAATAGCTAATAAATTAAGAACACACAAAAACCACACAGCTTTAAATTATGTTAAGTTTTACTAAATTTATAAATCAGCTTAATAATCAAATAACCAGGAAGGTGCACTAAGATTAAGCCCGAACATGTGATGCATTCTTTTTACAATCGGAACCCTCTGTCCCTTTTTCTGACAGTAATCTTTGCCAACCCTTCCTTGAGCAATAAAACTAGGTAACCGTGGGGAACATGCATGCTATTTTTCCTGTGACTCAATGAAATAAAAGAGTTAGTAATGAAATCCTCGTAGATGCCAGTAAGCACATGCCTCCTGATCAAAGATGTTGATTTCATATTTAAATGGAAAGATAGTCAAAGGGGTATTTCAATAAGACCACAGATTAAATTTCAAAAGAAAGCAATGTGAAAGTAAACCAGAACCCCAAGCAGGGGTGGTTCCCCATGACATCAGTTTTCTTGCCTACAGGTGTCCCCCTAAGTGTACAGAAACCAGGAACTGGAGGCAGGGGTGAGGTGGGGGTGAATGCACAGGTGCCCTTTGGTTTCTGAGCTGGAGCCTCCAGTTTATCAATAGAACCTACTTCCAGATTCCCACTGCTGGCACCTAACGCTGCACCCCGTGTTATTTGCCAGTGTGTTGGGAGAAACAGACTCCACTAGCAATGTGCGTTTGAAAACCATATAATTTGTGAAAGCAGCTCATTCACAAAACCCAGTGTGCCCTGCTGGACTGCCGGGCCCCTCAGACCTGCTAGCCCGAGCCTCATCCTGTCTCTTCACCGGACTTCACAGAACTCCTCTACTTGGTCTACTAGTCTCGATTGTTAGCCAAATAATAGCATCGTGATTTCATTCCATCATTAGACTTTCTTGGGCTGGATTTTTAACATACATTCAAAGAATATTCAAAGAGCATTTTCACGATCTGAGTAACTCCTCTGCGATGCACGGTCGGTGAAACCCTCTCCTGAAGGACGGGAGCCTCCTGGGGGAACAGGCGTGCGCGGGTGCGGGGCACGCGTATCCCCGCCAGGAGGGGCCGGCCGGCCACGCCGAGCACGGCCGCGTCGGCGGAACCACGACACTTGCCCAGGTCAGAAGAGTTATTAGTGAAAGCTGAGAGCTACATACCAAGTTCCTAAGCTGTCCGTAGGCCTGAGGCTTTCCTTTCTTTAATCCAGAGGTCCCGACCCGGGCCAGAACCGGGCCAGCACCGCGAGGGGAGCCGGTGAGGGGAGCCGGCCGCCACCCTCCCGCCGGCAGCTGGGCGAGCTGGCGGCCGCTCAGGCACCGGGAGGAACTCGGTTTCACAGGGAGCCTCCCACGCCACCGCCTCCTGACATCAGCAACTCTCATCTGGTGACACCTCCCAGGTCCCTCCTTCCACCGGGTGGGGGAGGCCAGGTTCTCACCAGCAGATTTTCCCAGCAGGGAGCCCCATTTCCCCAGGAGGTGCAGTGTGGGTTCGGACGGGCAGCTGCCCTGGACGCAGGCACAGACTCCACGCAGCTGCCGGGGAGCCATCGCCACCTGGGTCCTCGGCCTGGGCACCAACAGGTTCCCCGGGAAGGGCCGCAGCCGGCTCCGGACCTCCCCTCCCGTCCATTCCCACACACCGGCGGCCTTGGAACACGATCCCGACAGCCACCCCTCCCCCGCACCACAAACCCAGATCCCGGGCTTTGCCTCCATTCAGCCCGTCCCTGCGCCCAGAGCAAACACGCCCCCTGCTGGCGCACCCCGCCGAGGCGGGCTTCCGCTGACTTCGAGGTTGTGAACTAGGTAGCCGGCAACTGGGTTTGCAAAGGAAGTCACGGGACGAGAGTTTAGGTCCGAAATGCAAAGCCACGTACTTCCCTGCCCCAAATCTTGAAAGTTTATGCAAAACCTGATTTCCTGTATGTAGGTGTTGTCATTTTCCTGGTGCTCCTGTATTCTTCAAAAATTTTAAAGAAATGAAAATTTCTCCAACAAGATGTAGATGCTTACATAAAATGAACATAGGTCAGTCTATTTTATGCAAGAGTGCAATGTCCACCTTCTAACCATTCGAGAAGCCTCTATTTTAGACACTTATTATCATTATGATTCTCATCAATGTTCGGGGTGCTAGGAAAATACTTCTAATTGTAGTGGCACTAGATCCAGCTGGCAACTGGAAATAGGCTAGTTTTTCTTTTGAAATTTCTGAAATCATTCTTCCATCGTGCTTTTATATTATTTTTGTTCTCCTAATCTCAGAAAGGCAATGGAGCAGAGGTGAAGTGATTCATTTCCTGGAAGCACAGTCGCCCCTGAACCTCCCCGGACAGCGCCTGGCACGCAGCAGGCAACTAGGTTTCCTTCCCTTCCTTGTGCCAGTGTTCTCCTTGGAGGATAATCAGAGCCCCTCCAGACCCCATCAGAATCATGCAGAGATTTCAGACCAGAGGAGGAGAGGGGCAAACTGGTCAAAGAAACATCCACCAGGTTGACCTGACTTGTTGGGGCCTCCACATTACAGAAATGGTCTATCATATAATAATACTCTAAATCACCTGAAATATGAAAGGCTTTAAAGAAATCACTCTGCATTTGAGGAAAGAGGTGAAAGTTCAAAGGTAGAAGGAAGCACATTTTGTATTATTTGTAGAACAACTGGTGCCCATATAAGGTAGGACTATTATCAGGTATGATGTCTTAAGGGCAGGACAAGACTATTGTGTATATTATTTATGCATGTGTGTGTATACACAAACACATTTGTAATTTTCATATTAAAATAAAAAACAATATTTTGCCTAAGCCAAAATTACCATTCTTGGTGATTTAAAAGAAAAAATGAGGAATTTTATTTGCCTTGCAACACGAAGCTAAGAGCATGAAACTAGACTGTTTTCTAAAGTGGTCATTGAACAAACACAATAACAATCATTTATTAGTGCTTACTGTTGTTTCTGTGACATTCACTAGTAGCTATAAGTTAGAAATTGTGTTGTTTTGGGAATCTATGGTGGAAATACTTAGATGATAAAAATAAAACTATTTATTAGGTCTTCCAGATTTCTTTCTACCCTATGCCATCTAGAATGGTCAGTTGTACCCTTCAGCATCAAAGGAAGGAAGTAGATGACAACAGATGAGATAATAGCTGGGTTTAACTCTGAGACTGCAAAAGAAATAAATAAATAGGAAATGTAAAAGAGATGCAATATGAACAATGATACTAACAAAAGATAATCAAAATGCTACGGAAGAAGAGAACATATCCTAAGGTCAGTCAGTAATCATCCTGTCTTAAAAAAGAAAGTGTCAAAAAAATTAAAAATTGATACAAAACCAAAGCAGAATCAAATCCTGTTTTGAAAGTGAACTGATGCAAAATGTTGTGATCACAATAATCCTTACATGTAAAGAAAGTTGATGGTTTTAGAATAATTTGCTACACATTATTACACTTTATTTAATGAAATGCATGGGTTGAATATTTAAGCCATTTTCTTAAAACCTACAATCAATCATTATAGACTTAAAGAACCAGAAGAAATCACCTCTTCCCCATTCCCACCCCACAATCTCAATGATTCCTAAATACCTGAAACTACTGTCAAACTGGGAAAAAAGACTACACGGAAAAGCCCAGGGACTTTTAGGAGGCAGGGTGATGTATACGTTAGTAGCTCATGGAGTCATTTATTCATTGCTCTTGAATCAACAAGATTTCTGTCCACCTTCTATGTGAGAGGTCCTGCTCTTGTTGGCGAACAATGGCCAGGTGCCCTCTCTTGTGCTTACCTGAACCAATCGGACCAAGGCAGGCTGCCTGGTTTGCATTCTGGTCCCACCACTTGTGTTTTATTTGGCAAGTTGCTTAAGTTTCCTGAGTCTCAGTTTCCTTATCTGTAAAGTGGGGCCAACAGCGCCTGCCTCCAAGGGCAGTTGGAAGGTTCAGTAGGATTATGTTTGTGAGACACTTAGCCCAGTGCTTGGCTCAGAATAAACATTTGGTAAGGGATAAAGCTACTTGTATTTGTCAGGACTCTCAGTCTAATTCCTGGATTTTATCATGCCTTTGTGCAGATGGAGGGCAGCCACTTAATGGAAAGAGAACAAGAAACAGCTGCCGGGCTCCCACATCTGTCTTTCCGCTGGTGAGAAACAGCCAAGTTATTCTGTTGACACACCTGAATCACTCAGGCTTCCAAATCTGTGAATTTCAGCCTCTGTAAAAACTGCCTATTTCTGTGTATTTCATTGGTGGTTCCCAAATATACCCTCTAGGTAGGAAATGTGTTCACTGATCCTGCAACAGGGAGGTCAGAGGAGGAGGGAGGCGGGGTCAAAGGCACGCCCCAGGGAGACGCAAGCTCCCTCCTGTCTCCAGTCTAGGGCAGGCAGTAAAGGAACGTGCCCTGGCAGGTAGAAGAATGTCGAGGAGTGTGCACCTGCCACTGGCCAGAGGGACCTCCTGGATTTTGAAAGACCAACAAAAAGGCTTTGGACGGAAAGGATCGAACTGTCTTTTTGAATCTTGAGAAATTGAAAGTAGACACCACCCAAAGTTTTAACACTAGGCAAAGACAAGAAATACGTCATCGGAGGCTTTTTCCCCCTTCATAGTAACACTTATAATGTAGGTTAATCATTTAACTGCAAATTCACCTCGAAATGACTAAATGTGGGCTAGTCACAGCTGTAGTGTATGATTGTGCATCAATGACTCACACAGGATCATTCCCCTGCTATGACCCGAAAAAACAAAATCATGGTATCATGATTTATTCTTTTATCATTAAAAGAAGTTACACTTGATGAATATACTGTTCATGAACCAGCTAGTGAATCAGTTTTACCTTCTGACGTACCACAAAAATAGAATTTTGCATGGTTATAGACTCTTATTTTTTTATTTAAAAATATTTCCTTTCTTTATTGATTTGAGAGAGAGAGAGGAAGGGAGAGGGAGATAGAGATAGAAACATCGATGAGAGAGAATATCAATTGGCTGCCTCCTGCATGCCCCCCAC